AAAAAAAAAAAAAAATTAAAAATAAAAATCATTTCAGCTGAAAATTTATAGTTTTTAAGATGAGGATTTTTGTGCTGCTACTTGTTCTTGTGCAACATCATCAGGTTGTGATGAGCAGAGAAGAGTTATTTATCCCTCCTCCTCCTCCTCCTCCAAGTTATAATCATGAGAGTGAACCAAACAGGGCCTTATCAGAATTAGCAAGAAAAGGGAACTCAATTAGGCTGCATTTTTCCCAGTATTCATCGGGCAGTAAGATCGTGTCGGACGAGAAGAGGCTCGTGCCAACCGGGTCGAACCCTTTGCACAACAGGTGAAAAGTAGATAAAATGTATGTATACCTCTAATAAGCTTGATTAGTTAATTCTACTAGTTTTTTTGTGTTCTTATGGAGTCTTTTTTTTTTTTTAAACTTTTGTTGTTCAAGTTTTTTCTTGGGATTTTGATGTTCTTTAATTTTCAGCTTGAGTGGTTGTTTGTTTCCACTTTGTTATGCTTCATGTAGTTCTCTACTAAATGCTACCTGGTTATGATTAATGTTTGAGGTTATCAATTATATAAAAGATTAGCACATAATATAGAAAGAAAGTATTCTTTTTATCATCACAACTATGTATCATATCCAACAATTAATTATGCATATGAGTAAAATATAATGTAGCACAGCAGTTTGTACCATAAACGACGAATATTAGACAAGGCTACAAAATGTACGCTCACAAAAACGAAACGCCAAAGTAATAAATGAACCGGCAAACAGAAAATACGACCGAGCATGTGGTTTTTAGTTCAATGTCAAGGAAAAAGGCTAACAAATCTATTAATTAGGCACACAAAAAAATCAGGTCCTAACTAAAGAAAAGTTTCAATTTTAGAGAACACCCGGTTTATTTTTCACAAGTCGACATATATAGGAAGGATCGTTCGGTGGAGCCATTGCAGAATTTAAGCGTTCTTTTTTTAAGTAAAACTAAGCATGTAATAAGCTTGTAAAGCTTTTGGTCTATGCAATTCTTCATGATCTGGCCAAGATTTGTAAACTTGTTTTGATGCCATTAAGGTAAAGAAAAAGGACAAAAATGAAGGGTTCATTTGAATTTTCTTGCTTGAGGAGAATGAGTTTTGATTTGTTATGAAATAGGTGGTCCAAAGGCATTTAATTGGTGCAATGTGGCCATTTGCAACAGCAGCACACGGGCAAAATTTAAGAAAAATG